TTGACTTGACCACAAAATTTTTGTGAGGGACGCCTGCCAGACCCGTTTCCTGGCATTTTATGAAAAAGTTGTTCAGTCAAAGCACGAAAACGGAAGTCACAGCAAGGGGCGGGATTGACGATTCGTCCTCTTCTGGGCCATGCTGATTTTTGGGTCGGATCAGCTATGGTGGTTGGGGAGAGAGGACAAGGTGTGCTGATGTGAGATGTTGTAGGGCTATTTCACTTGGAGGGGGTGAGGCAGGAGGGAAGGGGGATCTTCGGCTCTGCGGGGCATACTTTAGGGGGTATTGCATGGAGCTGAGAGAGTAGGAGTGGTATTTAGGGGGCTGTACTAAACTGGGGCTGGGAGGTGAGTGGGCCGCTTCTCCGCGGAGGCAGTATCAGATAGGGGGTCGTTTTTTTTTTTTTTTTTTTTTTTTTTTTTCTCTAGTTTAAAGCCCTTGTGTAAGCTTCTCTATTCCGGTGGCGGTAAGAGAACCACCAGAATCGAGGGCTTATCTGCCAGGCTGCTAGTGGAGATGGTGGCTCTACTACAGTAAGTCTTGCCGGAGTGAGGTAAAGAGGATCGTTGGGGGGGTTCCGAGTTGTTTGTTCTTAGCCGAAGCCAGGTAATGGTCCTTGTATCTCAAAAAAAGGAGGGAAGGGGGGGGAGCTACAACTGGAGGATGGAAGGAAGTAAGGGGGCTCTCAACAGAGGAAGGTCGTTTGCTAAGGTAGTACCGTAGTAGGTTAGAAGGACGATGTTGGGACGATACATGCCGGTGCTGGAGCTCTTGCTTTGTGACCTAGGGAGCTTGAGGCTTGTGGATTTATGCCGAGGGTGGAAGGCATAACCAGACCATTCGACGTAGCCGGCACTGGGGTATTAACCTATGAAACACCAGCAGTCACGGTCACAGCGGGCACGACCGCGGCCCGCAGTGGCCGAGGGAAGAGGGGGTTGGGGGTTGGGGGTGGGGGTTTCGGATTGGAGTTCCGGAACCCCGACCCTACCCCCTCAGACAAAAAAAAGTTAAAAAAAATAACTTT